CATGAACCCTGACTGCAGGGCTTTTTTTTTTATTATTATGAATTCCAATAACTCACAGACTTTTGTGGCTTTTTATAAACTCGGCTGGGAGTTACGAGGTTCAGCGCCGCACACAGCAGTCCTTCAGGGCCGTTTCCTTGTGAGGCAGACGGAGGAAGCAACGTGACGTGCGCCGTCACGCTGCTGTCGACCGCATCCACGGGAATAATGGGAAATGTGTGCGGCAGTAAGTGGCTTCCACGGTGACACGGTAATTGGGTTTGTGGGAAGGTCAGCTTTCTACTCGGCCGCTCCGACAAACACAGCGGGCTGTGTGTTTATTGACCTATGAAGAGCAATGAATGTCTCAATGCAGCCGGTGTCGTATCAGTCTGTGTTGGGGCACATGCCAGTTTGTACGTATCAGCACAGCACCTGATTCCTGTTTGCCCCCGTGATGGACAATATAAACAGAGCCGGGCCAGGAATACGTGTACAACAACAACAAGCACCGTGACACTGACTCAGGAGTCTGTTTAAAGCAGGTACTTTACTTTAGCTTTGGTTTTTGTTCACTGGCAGCCTGGCCTCACTCCTCGTAATGTCACTGTGGTCCAGAATGAAATATCTCACAGTAAACAGATGGATTGCAGAGGTGTTCATGTTTTCCGAGGAGGGAATCCTAATGAGGAGTGTGCTACAACCAACACATATTTTTCCTTTGTTATTAATGAATTGATTTTTTTAGTGTCAGAAAACAGTAAAAATATTTAAATGACTTGTTTTGTCTGTTTTTGCCTGAAAAAACACCCAAAGACGATGAGTCAAACTTAGCAAATGTTCACATTTTTACTTAAAAATAACTCAAATAATGACTTTGTTAGGGGCTGCAAGGTGGAGCGGTGGATAACACTGTTGCCTCTCAGCTAGAAGGTCGGCAGTTGGCGTCCCGGTGAGGACACCCGGGATCTTTCTGCGTGGAGTCTCCATGTTCTCCCCGTGCAGCGTGGGTTCTCTCCGGGTTCTCCGGCTTCCTCCCACAGTCCAGAAACATGTTGAGGTTAATTGGTGATTCTAAATTGTCCGTAGGCTTGGTCATCTGTCTCTAAGTGTAGCCCTGTGATAGACTGGTTACCTGTCCAGGTGAACCTGCCTTCACCCTGAGTCAGCTGGGATAGACTCCAGCCCCCCATGACCCCAGTGAGGATGAAGCAGTGTATAGATGATGGATGGATGCCTTTATTACAAAACCACCAACTAACTGACAGTTAATAACAATTATTTCATCTCTAGCGCCCTGGTCAGTCCCTTGGCGTCCAAAGATATAACAAAACTGCCACATATTGGGTGGTATCAGGGGCTCAACTGCTATTTTTTTCCCCCACGGCTCCTCAGGAGGTTAATTCATCCATGTTTCCAGTCTCACAGAGACACTAGTGTGAGTCTTTTTACAATAAAATATGACCAGTAAACAGACGCAAATGTGACAGCAGAAGAAATGGTCACGGAAGCTGAAGTTATTTCACGAGAAACTGTGATGCTTCCTAGGCTAATTACAGACAAAGTAAAGTACAGAACCTGGTTGTAGCACGAGTGGGAGCACAATGTTTATTCTTTCCTCGCACGGAAGTTCACATGAAGTGACAGGAACATTAGAAAATGCAGTACATCTGACGCACATACATCCACATCTTGCAATAAAATCGCTTGGACACAAAAAGCTCTGGTTACCGTTTGTACTTCTGCAGCATTAAAACTCGTTGGAATCGAAGCACGTGACAGCCAAGTCACCAGCCTCTGTAACGGGCTCAGAAAAGACATCACGTGCAGCAAAACATTCCGGCTGCAGCAACTGGATGCACAGAGCGAGATGTGAAACACTTAAAATGAGGGAGATTCTCAGAAGAAAGTGTCCTCAAGCACCTCATAAGGTATTTCTGCCCTCCTTAGGTCTGTTCTAGGTACACATTGTACCCAGAAAATAGAGGCTTAGACACTTGCCTCTTTAAAAAAATATAAAAAGTGTGTGTTTGAGTGTGTGTGAAAGGGGGAGATTTCATAAAGTGAGCGAGCACTCTGCTCATTTGGACCTCAGCGGAGTCTCTTTGTGCCTCGCTCTGACACGGAGAGTACAGTAATCACACTGAGTGGCTCCTGACACAGATCAATGGGAGACAAGCCGACAAAAAGATAAAGAAGGACATGGAGAGCAAAACGGTGAATGCTTGATGTATAAAGTCGATGCCTGACTTTGGCTCTGCATCTGGGGCTTCTGCTGTTGGAAGTTTCACATCCTGCACAGAGCTCTGTTGCCACCTGCTGGAGAGACGACGCGATTGAAGTCTGATCAGAAGAAACGTGCTGTTAAACTGACAGGCGAGGACAGAGCAGTGGTTCAGCTTTAGATGTGGGACAAAACAGCTTCTATTTTCTATTGTCTGTGGACAGGACTGTATTTAGCCTGAAGCTGCTATAATCAGTACTTTATGAAAAGAGTAGAGGTGTGTGAAAGTTTCTGCTCAAAGTGATGAACCCATTATCTCTCGACTCCACACTTCCTCTCAGCTCTGTGCAGCGTTTGAGCGTCTTTCAGCTCGTTCTTTTGGTTTTCTAGCCCATAGCTTTACCATTTGTGGCGGCTGTGACTCAGGTGGTAGAGTGGCTGTCCTCTGATCATAGGGCTGGTGGTCCACAGTCAAAGTGTCCTTGGGCAAGATACTGAACCCGAAGTTGCTCCCAATGGCAGGCAGCCCCTTGCATGACAACTCTGTGGCTATTGGTGTGTGAATGGGTGAATGAGAAACCCATTGTAAAGCACTTTGAGTACCACCAAGGTAGAAAAGCTATATAAGTAGAGTCCATTTACCATTTTGGTCCACCCACACTGTCATATGAGTGAAAAATCTTTAAAAGTCAACTACTGTGTCTAATATTCCCCCTTTTTTGACTCTCTTTTTGGTCACTACCAACTCCTGAGATTCATATCCAGCTTTTTAATAATAACAATTGATCCGATTTATATAGCATGTTTCTAGACACTCAAAGTCGCTTTACACTGTCAACTATTCATCCACACACATTCATTCTGGTGGTGGTAGCTACGATTGTAGCTACAGCTGCCCTGGGGCAGACTGACAGAAACCTGGCTGCCATTCTGCCCCTCTGACCACCACCTCAATAATCCATTCATTCACACCAGCCAAGGTGGGTCAAGGACACAGCAACAATGACACAGGTGACAGGAATCGAACCGCTGACCTTCCGACCTTGACCGACTCGCTCTACCACCTGAGCCACAGCCGCTATTAAACAGCTATTAAACCTTCAGCTAACATGTCCGTATGAGGTTTTCCACAGGCAAGAAAACACATCATGTGCAAAATAAGCAGTCAGTGCCATGGCTGAGCATTTCCAGTACACTGATAACAGCTTCAAACACACAGATTCAGACTTTCAGGGTTTCATATGGAACAAACTGATTCTGTTAATATGCAGGGTGGGACGTTCTGGATCGATATTCTGCTTCAGAATCAGTTTCCTGGTTGAACAGGCTGAATTACTCCAATATTACAACTTGGCATTTTGTAGCGCAGAGTCGATTTACATTGTGGGAGCAGAGCCGTATAGGTGAGCTGGTGCACTCGAGCTGCAGCCTCATAAATCTGCATATTCTAGGGCAAGCAGTGGTGTAGGGGTGAATGTAAACTATTTTATTTTCATGGGGAGAAAAATCTAAATATGTAACACTGACACACAGAGATGAGTTTTAAAGAGTTT